ATGATCATATTGGGGATATGGTGTTTACATGAGCACAGAGAGTCCGGGTTATTCATGTTCCCTTTTACATGATACATACTAGTAACCTTTTCTCATCTAAACTATTCAGTATTTGTATCTCTATCATGAAATAAAGACGAAACTCCGCTCCAGAAGTGAGACGGTTTTGCCGCCGCCGCCATCACTGTTAACTGATTAACTGCTACCAGCTGATGACTTACTTTCCTCTTCTTTGAAAAAAAAGTTCTTAAGTCCATGTTGTCTGGGGGAGAAAACATATCAAACAAAGAGATCGTCAGCTTTGATTTTCGCTGTATTAACAATGTCCTGAACATTTGGTGTGTGTGCCTTACCTCCGCGGTGCATAATTTGACACAACACCGGCATCGCTTCATACAACAGATCTGAGCTGTCGACCGTAACTATGGCAACACTCCTTGAACATGCTATGTGAGAATCTGCCTTGGTACAAAGTAGCAGTGAAAACATGGTACGGAGTTTCATTGATTTGGGCATTCTCTCAATAAGCAAGTGGAATGGATTTGATAGTGAAGCACTGACACAGCGCTCTACAAAGAGCGGCGATTGGATAGACCATGGGATAGACCGATGCACGGACTTTCCACATGGTAAAAGTGTGTGTGTGTGTGTGTGTGTGTGTGTGTGTGTGTGTGTGTGTGTGTGTGTGTGTGTGTGTGTGTGTGTGTGTGTGTGTGTGTGGGGTGGGGGGGTCTAAACTAATCATTTGAAAAGGTGGGGGGACTTGTCCCACCCTCAGATAATGGCTGCGACGCCCAACCTGAACTATTTAAAATACCATATAATATATAAATGTATGGGATCTTGCAATTATATATTAAAAAAACTGCCAGAAAGAGTGCAGACGATCCCTTTCATAACATCTTTAATATTAGCATTGTTAAAATAAATATATCAATAGTATTTCGTGAGTCATTCTCTATTTTTGTTATAAAAATTGAGAGGGGAGTGGCGCCCCTATCTTGAATAAGTGTATTATTTTGAAACTTATGACCGGATGTTGTTTCTTGTCTTTAACCCTAGCTCGACGGAAGAATGCAACAAGAAAAGGAAAGTGTTTTCTACCAACTGTCAGTGTTTATCTGCATCGTACAAGTGTTAGGGAATACTTTTTGCCCATTTTTGACAAACGTTAAATAAAATAATAACATATTAAGGACCAGTCATGGCGCTCACCGATGCTGACGTACAGAAACAGGTAAAGTAGACAATTTTGACTCTGAACTGTCAAGTTAAAAACTATTTATCCCAGTGACGAAGTTATAAATTAAGCTAGCTGTAGCTTAACATGACAAACATTAACACTTGCTCACGGGCTAAAACTAGCGTCAGTAGCTAAATCATTATGCACAAGCTAATTGTCGTTAACTTATGAGGTTGTTACTAAACTCCTTTACGTGACACTTTATTTAGTTAAAATATGGGTTATTTAAAAGTGTTAACTGTTGTAAAAAAAAAGCAAAACAAATAATGGTAATGATCCGTTTCATATATTAGGGTTAATATTTTAGTGCTAACATTATTTAAATTATGTGTTTAAGTAAGTATTGGGTTTTTGTTTGGTATGTACTTGCATTTATAAGGTTGACATAAGCTTTTTGTGACTTCAACATTTTAACAGACTATTTTGTTTTTGCAGATCAAGCACATGATGGGCTTCATTGAGCAGGAGGCCAATGAGAAAGTTGATGAAATTGATTCTAAGGTAAGTCTGTCTGTCTGTCTGTCTGTGATGTTTGCTGCAGGGATCACACTCACTGGTCTTGTCATACCCATCTGTTTACAGGCGGAGGAAGAGTTCAACATCGAGAAAGGGCGTCTGGTGCAGACTCAGAGGGTAAAAATCATGGAATACTATGAGAAAAAGGATAAGCAGATTGAACAACATAAGAAAATGTGAGTTTTTTGTCATTTGTAGTCAGTTTGGAAGATAACTTAATTGACCAAGGAGTTTGAGTAAACCCTTAGCAGAGAAAATCTAATTTACCCATTGGCCCTTTTCAAAATGTTTTACTTGAAAAATGTAGTTACAGTTAAGGTTTTAGAAAAAGAAAAACTTAACTGTTAAAGAGATAGACCTCAAGTCCGACATCTTTGATTTTTAACTGTTGGAAATTTTACATATCTGAACTAACATAACGACTGCGTCAACAAATCAGTTCTCACCAGATGAATATATATTTGTTCTCTTTGCTCTGTTATTTTGTTGTTTGATAAATTCATGGAATCTCATTACAGTTTAGTTTGGCTACGTATTTTGTAACTAAATCTCCATAAGAGCATGAACATCACCATATCTGCAGTGTAAAATCCAATTGTGCCGGCAAGGGTGTTTTTTAATCAATGCAATGTGACGACTGGGTATCTCTCTGAACATCTGGATTAAAGGCGTGCAGCATTTCATGTTCATGTCTGCAGATAATACATTCGTTGACCTTTCCTTTCACTCCCACAGACAGATGTCCAACCTGTTGAACCAAGCAAGGCTTAAGGTGCTGAAGGCTCGGGACGACATGATCACGGTAAAATCAATATGAATATTTTACACATTTCATGTTACACAACTGACACATAACTTTCTCACATTTACATTCAGTATATTGATAGATGAATACAAAAACACATATGATAAGGTGCATGAGTGCTTATGTTTTGTTCTATAAAGATGTGATGAGGTGAATCAAAATCTCTTCAAATGTTGTTTTAATTCTTAGAGAATTTTCTTGTTTTTGTCATTCTCGTAAATGAAGCAATCTTATTTCAGAGAATATCCAGATAATATTATTTAAATAATTATATTATTATTTACCAACATGGGTCCTTATGCTATCTTAAAATAAGAGGGTTGATGAGCAGTGTGACTCCAAAATCTAAATGAATCAGGAAACGTTTTTGTTCCTGTCTTCTTGTCTCAGGATTTACAGAATGATGCTCGTCAAAGACTTGCAGAGATTGCCAAGGACCCGGAGAATTACTCCGTCCTATTGCAGGGCATGTTGCTTCAGGTAAAATCCCAAACTACTCTCCTGTTGGGAGGACACAGGTGAGTCAACAACTTAGCGGTTTGTTTTCTGAGCCTTTTCTTTTCAATTTTATAGGGATTCTTTCAGCTACTGGAACCTAAAGTGACCGTCCGCTGCCGACAGCAGGACGTAGAAATGGTTCAGGTGACTATAGTGTGCCATGTGGTGAATATTGTACCAAGTTGTTTGAAAAAGCCAAGGTTATTACAACTGCCTTTGCATCTTTTGTCACATTCATGATAGTCGCTAGCGTTGTTTTACAATTTTATGTTTAAATGTTTCGACAGGAGGCAGTTAATAAGAACATCCCCATCTACAGAGAGGCGGTGAAGATCAACATAGTCGTAAAAATCGACACAGTGCGCTTTCTTTCGTCAGACATGTGAGATGATTTTACCATCAACTCTATTGAATGTTTTTTCCAGAATACTTTTTGTATGATGACTATGATTCAATGTGCCAAGAAAAAGCTTTTTAAGCTATGCTTGCTGTTAATATTTGTGTCTACTCTTTGTTCTAACAGCTGTGGAGGGGTTGAGGTGTATAACGATAATGGGAAGATCAAGGTTTCCAACACCTTGGAGAACAGGTTGGAACTTATTGCACAACAGGTAGAGCATATTTGATTACATCTTTATACACAAACCTTTAAAGGTCCCATGTCATGGCCATTTCTGATCATAATTCCATTGTTGAGGTCTACTAGAATAGATTTACATTGTTCAATGTTCCAGAATCACATTGGTTTCTCATACAGCATCTCTGTATAGTATGTGTATTCACTGTCCTAAACGGCTTGTTGGAGCTCCC